TTGCTATAAAAAGATGACCTGACTCTAACTACTGATGAAGCCCTAAATCCAGCCACTTTCAGCAGGAAGGAGGAGCCCCGCACATAAATGTTTAGATATTATTAAATACCAAATCAACGTAAGGCCAGACCTCGGGGAAACTCCCTTCCAGCCCGGGTTCCATTTCTTTGTGGGTGATCCTCTCAGGTAATTGAGGAAAAAAGACATAATGGGTAGGCCTTAACTATAATATAATCATGCTGACTCCCTAATAATTGATCAGCACAGACTTTGAATTGTTTGCTCTAAATCAGACTCTTAAAAATCAGCCCACTATATAAGTCTTAGAGACCAGATTATGTTGGATTAAATGCCTTCCCATAGCACTACTCAGGGTTAGGACAACCTTTTGGAAGGACATTGGCCTCTCCCTCTATGAAAATGCTTTATGGGCTTCCTCCCCTTAGCTCTGTTACTGATGTACCTTCCTTTAAAACCAAAAACTATTTCTTCAAAAATTATATGCTTGAATTGTCCTCTACTTTACTTTGTCTTAGGAAAAAAGGATTGTTAGCACAGGCTCCTCCATTTGACTTTCCTGTTCATCCACACCAGCCTGGCAATCATGTGCTGATCAAGACGTGGAAAGGTCCTGCTGACCACAAAAACATCCTTCTGGACCATGGAGAGGGGGTGGACTCCTCACACACGGGTAAAGAAGGCGCTCCCACCTGACCAGAAGGAACAATGGACCATGCTCTCACATCCAGGAGACACCAGAGTAAACTTAAAAAGACTATAGTGAAATTATTCTTTCTCTTTCATCTGGGAAATGGTATGTTTATTATTAAGGTAACTCAGAGTACTTTTCCCTTAACTGTTGAATTCAATGCATGTCAGGTCCTTCCTTGTGGGAGCCTTATGTCACAACTCCAGCTCCAAGGATATTCCTTTTATATGTGCCCCATCCCGAGACCCACAGGGAAGCTAGTATCTGTCCAGAGTGGATGGATGTGGGGTAAGACACTGGGTAAAAAGGATACACTTCTCCCTTTTATGACAATCCTAAGGGCTGGACCAGACCCCGAGACACTGGTAAGACTCCAATTTCCACCATCCAGAACAGTCAACAGTCTGTTAAAAGACTGCAGTCAAAATTACTGCACGCCCTTCTCCTACTTGTAAAGATAAACAATGTAACCTACTTAGATTAGTCATAGAAAGCCCTTGGAGTATGACATGAGAACCATCTATATTTCGTAGATACAGGTTGGGGGCAGATGTCTCAGGGACAAACCTGTTAGGTGCCTTTGAGATCCATCTAGCTCCCAACCCCTCTCAGGTGACACCCAGTTCTACGTCCACTCCAGCGTTACCTCCACGTTTGCACAACAATTGAACTCAGGTAACCGTAGTAGAAGTCAAGGACCTAAGACAAAGTGTGGCTACTGAAATCGGGTACAGGGATACAAATGCTTGGATGGAATGGATAAAATATTCTGTCCACACATTAAATAAGAGCGATTGCTATATTTATACTATTGGGAGACCAGAGTCTCAGGTGGTCCCGTTTTCATTAGGATGGTCCTCAGACCCAGATGGAATGTATTGCATGTTGGCTCTGTTTCAGGATGCCAAGGCTTGGGGCAATGAATCCTGCTGGACGCTATCACTACTGTTAAAAGAGGTCAGAGGTCCTGTGGGTCAGCCCCTGAGGACTATTAGGCCACCTGCCCTAGGCGTTAATTATACCTCATGTCTCACCAGACCTGGGATGGGGGGAGGGGTGATTGACAAATGTAGGAAACCTGACAGGATGCAGTGAAAGCCCATCCTTCGACAGCTTCACAAACCAGTCCACACTCTCGGTGGGCAGAGCCAATGTCTGTTGGTACTGCAGAGGACCTTTATTTGAGATCCCAAGTAACTGGGCAGGCACCTGTGCTTTGGTGCAGTTGGCAATCCCTTTCACCCTAGCATTTAGATCCCCAGCCCATGCCACAACATCTAGAAAAAGGAGAGACATAGACATAGACACTGCAGTCAACTGCAGAGGCTCCTTTGATTCCCATGTTTACATTGATGCCATTGAGGTTCCTAGGGTAGTGCCAAATGAATTCAAAGCCAGGAACCAACTTGCAGCAGGGTTTGAATCAGTACTCTTTTGGTGGTCCACTATAAATAAAAATGTCAATTGGATTAATTATATTTATTATAACCAATAAAGGTTTGTTAACTATATCAGGGATGCCATCAAAAGAACAGCAGAGCAACTGGGACCAACTAGCCAGATGGCTTGGGAGAACAGGCTAGCATTACACATGATGTTGGCTGAAAAGGGAGGAGTTTGCATAATGATTGGAGTTTTGTGTTGCATGTATATACTAAATAATACACCCCTGATGGAACTATTACCAAGGCCCTATAGGGATTAACTACCCTATCCAACGAGCTAGCTGAAAACTCAGGTATAAATGATCCCTTCACTGACTTAATGGAAAAATGGTTTGGAAGATGGAAGGGCTAGATGACTTCAGTTTTAACCTCCTTGATTGTAGTGGCTAGAGTTTTAATTTTAGTAGGTTGCTGCAAAATTACTTGTGTCCGAGGACTAACACAGCAGTTAATTGAGATAACCCTCACCAAACAATCACCCCCACCCTACCAAAATAACTTGTTTCTATTAGAAACACAGGAACTTGAGAGCCAATAGCTCCTAAATGAGTTTGAAGAAAACAATTTAAATTAAAAGAGGGAGGAAACTGTAAGAAAAATGATCTTTTCTATCAAAGTATTTGTTACCCTCTTAAATTACTTAAACATTCTTCAGGTCACCATATTAGATGACTTGTATATTTAAAGGGTCCTTGCTTCTTCTTCCAGGTTCCTGTACAACTCCATTTTCCACTAAACTGTATGCCCTAACCCATCCCCCAAGCCTTTTTGCCATTCAAGGGAGATTGTAAACATTTGACCTGGCCAAATCCTGGGTTGGGGCAGGTACAAGTGCGTCAGGGGTCAGGGATGTAAGGAGGAGCCATGGTTGGCCATTTTGTGCTTGTGTGTCTGCTCAGCTGGAGTAAGTACATGGTTGCACCCTTTTGCTCAAAAGAAGTTGCCTTGTCAAGATTTTCTCTCTCTTGTGTGTCTGTTCAGCATCAGAGGGTCTTTAATTCCAACAATGGATATGTTCATTTTCTTTACTATGGTATTTATTTTACTATGTAAATGTATCTGAAAACATCAAACATCAAACTATACCTTAAATGCACACAATAAAACAAAAAAAATTCTCAAATGTTTAAAAGTGATTTGTGATTAGGAAAGTGACATAGTTACGTTGGCTTTGGGATTCAGAAGACAAAATGAGCCAGTGCCCCCATCCCATGTGAGAGCATTGTGGGCCCCACATCCTGTGAAGGGATGGACGGTTTCATAAGTCATGGCCCCCTGAGGATGCCTCAACAAGGCTGATAAGCAGGAGGCTTTCACAGAACTGTGTATATGTTCCTGCAGAGATATGTTAAGAGACCACTCCACTCCTGACTCCTGTACCTCTCCTCCACAACAAAGTGTGTTTCTACAAAAATATATCAAAAGATCACTCCACCCCTGACTCCTAACTCCCCTCCCAAACAAAAAGGACCAAATAAAAACCCTCTCTATGAATGAAAGAGTGCTACCAACTTTCTGGGCTCCCTGCTCTTTTCTAAGGGCAGCTTTTCCTTCCTCTATAATAAATCCTACTTGTGTGCTGAGTCAATTCACCTGCCTCACTGGCCAATTCTTTGTCTAGTGAAGACAAGAAACTTCACCACTGGCCTGCAACAGTTAGATCTGTGTTTTGAAAAGATAAACCTGGTAGCAATGTACAGTTTGGTTTGGGTGAGGTGAGTCTATACAGTAGGATATTTGTTAAAAGGTTATCGCAACAAAAGATGATAAGGATTGGAAATTCTCATTGTTCTGATATTATCCGTATCTCTCTTACCAAAGTTTCACCTAGAACATTTTCTATATATTTATATATTTATCGCTGAAGGAAGGACAGAAAAGAAGCTGGTTTGTATCACTTAATTTTTCTAGACCCTAAATTTCATTTGTAAAATGAGCAGATTTCACTAGAAATTTCCAGGGTCCTTTCCACTTTAGTGTTCTGTGGAAATACCTTGCCTCTAGTGGGGAACACTAACAACAATCATTAAGCTAACATAAACCTTAGATACTATTAGGTTACAAGCTACAAGGGCACCTCTACCTAAAATACGTGAAATATATTCCCCCTATGAAAGGGAGTTTCTGCAATCAATATAGACTTTAAAAAATGAAGGACAGGAAGGTAAAATACATCCTTTCCAGGAATGGGTATCAGTGGGAGGGGGGAAGATAAATGGTAAGGGTGAAGGTGGATGAATATGGTCCATGTACTTTGTACAGAACGATGATACCTGTTGAAATTGTTCTAACAAAGGAGGAGGGGGATGGGGGTAAATGACGGAGGGGGTGAGTCTAATTAAGATACTTGTAGGCACATATGTAAATATCACAATGAATCCCTCTGTATAACTATTATAGCCTAATAAGATTTAAAAAAAAAGTTTTCTGATAGCAGAAGGAAGGAAGAGGCACGTAGGTAGGAAGGCAGCAGATGGTCATTTCAGCAATCATATCATGACACTCAAGTAAAGGAATACTGGCCCTAGTCCCAATTTGTTAAGCTAAGTCACTAATAACCTTATTACCTCTAAGACTTGGGTTGTTTAAAAGCATTATATGTCAAAATTTTAATAGAATTATTTTCAAATTCAATATCACTGTAAGGCAACAGAACAATTATACAAAACTGTAATATTTTGCTAACATTAGAATGGTAGTCATAAATTGGTCTCATCGCTTCATGATGAATGAAAAGAGACAGGACATGCAATGATTCTCTTGTAAGATAACGTGAAGTCAGATAGCTCAGAAATCCAGTTTCAACCATATAGGCGCATCATCAGTTTTTATTATGGATTCAGAGGTTAGAATTTAATTGCACGTGTATAAAGATGTAAAGCTGTTATTTTGTCCATTATGTCATGTGCTCCTATCATTTTTAGTGACCGAACTAGTTGGTCTCTTAAAGCAGCAGCAGGTAGTGATAAATTATTTTCTGTTCTCCATTTAGCAAACGCTTGACAGACTCTTTCATTTAATGGAATAGGGCTGAAAAATTTAAATAACAATTATTTCAATTAATGATTAAGAACATTATTTTAAACTACTTAAATATTATATATCTAGGTTTTCAAACCAATGTACCAGATTAAAGTGAGTCTAAAATTAATTAGTGAAAAGTGAATGTGAAAGTTTGCCACAGAGCTTGGCGCATAGTGAATGTTAGCTCCATCCTAGCTCTTGTTTCCTTGTGAGAAGTCAACCCTTCACATCCATTCAGTTTCCAAGACCTCAGATAGAAATTGTGGATTATTTGCTCTAAATCAGCACAATGCTGCTACTGTACCACTGTACCACAAACTGAAGTGGACTTCACTTCAGTCTCATGGCAACTCTTAGGTAAGTGTATCCATTTTACCAGTGAGGAAAGGACTTGCCCAGTCAGAAAGCCAGCAGGATAAAAAGCCAACAGTTTGTCCTCAGAGCTCTTGCTCTTTATTATACTACATAACCTGTAAACACGGATCCCAAATATGTAATAAAGTAAAAGACAGCCTCTTATAGCAAATTAGAGTTTAATATGACTATTTCAAAACCATGTAATATTAATATGATATAAATCAATACAAGGATAAATTTATATCAAATGTTGTCATTCCTACATACCTCTTTGTGGTAGGGGCTTTAGTTTCTGAGTTTGCCAGTTTTAGTTTTTGACATAAAAATTCAAAATTTGTTTCGGTGATATTTTTGGCAACTATCTTGAATATCTTCTCTAAGATCTTCTCTACATTTGGAAATAAAAGAAAATTTTAGCTATTTCTTTTGAAAAAGATACTCTATTTTGACTTAATACTTAGTTTTCTTCTGTACGTCTTTCAAATATATGTCAAGTAAAATTGAAAACGACAATTCACATCTAAAATATCTGAAATTCGAACCATTCATCCCATTTCTTCTAAAATCTGAAAAGTCCTACAACCTAAAATGGATGCTTAAAAAAGGATAGCATAAGCAACTTTAAAATTGGTTTCCAAACTTTTTTTTTTGGGAGGAGGGGCTGTACTGGGGTTTGAACTCAGGGCCTATACCTTGAGCCACTCCACCAGCCCTTTTTGTGATGGGTCTTTTTGTTTGAGATAGCTCTAGAGCTATTTGCCCTGGCAGGCTTCAAACTGCAATCCTCCTGATCTCTGCCTCCTTACTTGCAGGATTCCAGGTGTGAGCCATTAGCGCCTGACTTTTATGTCCTTATTTATGAAGCAACTTGAGAAACCATCATCTACTAATAAATATAGTTTATAAATACATATTTATATTGCAATCACTTATTTAGTAAGCATTGGCTTTATAGTTTTTAAGAAAGCTTCTACCTAATTTGAACTAGATCCATTTCTCATTAATAAGGCACTATGAGAATTTTCAAAAGCTAGAACTCTCACACACCCTATAGTCATCTCAAATATATTCTAATTTTTCTGTTTTAAAAATTTGTGTATATGTTATTACTCCCTCAGACTAGATTGCATGCTAATTATGGAAATTCCAACTCCCTAAGTAAAAGATTCAGAAAGACACTCCCTGATCTTTGATAGCTGTAGAACAAATGCATCTCCTATGTTAGTTCTCCCTATGTTCACTGAGTGCCAGGCCTGCAGAAGGAAGACCCTTTGAGTATATAGAAAGGTGAGATATATCGGAGGTTCTCTCATTTTTGCTGGCTTTGATCTGTTGCCATTGCCTACTGCATTTTCCCCATAAAGACTACATGAATTCTTCCTTAAGACCTTGAAAAACAATTTAAGCAAGGAGGTCCAGTCATGTAACTTTACAGCCTTTCCCTAAAGTACTATACCTAAGAGAAATGCTTTATGGGTCCTTAAAAATCCTTAAATATTTTATAGAAGTGGAATTATCATAACACACCCCTTTTACAGAAGTAACTAGTACACCCTGCACAACAAATTAAAGAAGACAGCTGCTGTGACTTTTAATTTTATTTCTTAGGTTCCTTCTATCAGTGAGGCTAAAGTCTTGCAAAAGTTTCTGAATAGGCATCCTGTGAATGTATAATGCATCTTATAAAGAATAGTACCTAGATTATGAGATCATGACAGTATCCACTCATGGTTATGTAGACAAGGTACATGATAGAATGATGTGGGGACAATTTTAGATATTCCATTTCCCCAAATCTGAATCAGTACTTCTTGGTCTATTACATTAAATTGAAGGGTCAAAATCTGGATTGACTGTGAGGAGTGATAATGAGTGGAAAAGTCAGAGTTCTAAGGAGAAGCCTGACTGCTATAAACTCAGCCAAAGGTAAAGAAAGGGACAGTGAAGCTTCCCTCCCAGAAGCTTATGGAAACCAATCTCCATCTTGTTCACTGAAAGACCATTTAAACAGAATGGACTTGCTCTTAGTGGTACACACACACACTGGAGAAGCCCCCAAGGAAAAAGTGATGAAGACTATTCAAGGATATCAAACAGATGGTCCCAGTGGACCCCAAACTGACTGGTCCCAGTGGAAGGGATCCGTGGATGTCTTTACAGTATAGATGGCTGAGTGCTTGTAGAACAATTACATCCGGTAAAATAGATTAGAAATGAAGAACTTCACATGGGGATTCTCTGAGTCTGATCACAACCATGATGAAAAAGCTATTGGAAGGCATGGTGGGTGTGTGGGAATCAGCCCACTCCTTCATGAGGATTTGCTTGTTTTCAAAGGCTCAAATTGTATGAATCTACATTAAATAATCTGAATTATCAGACCCCCTAACCCTTAGAAAAGGAAAGCTGATAAATATTGTAATGTCTCTGCCAGACTGAAAGTCTCCAATCAAAGCAAGCTATCTTTTAATTTACAGATGATACCAGAAAATTACTTGTAAATATGATTTGTCAATCGCTCATCACCTACCATCTCTTTCATCTGCCTTCTGTAGATAGCGTCCAATAGTGTACAACTGTTTTCCTTTACAGATTTCCACTGGAGGTCTCAGCAAAGGGTTGTCATCAAAATTTATCTCCTTCAGTGACGAAAGACTGTAAATGGCACTAGGCAGAGTTGTTAGATTATTTCCTAGTAGAAAAATTTAGTCAAATTGTACCTTTCTGTAAAATAGAACTATGGAGACAAATAACTATATAAGAAGAATCTACTGTCCTAGCAAAGTATCAGAGGACGTTCTCAATGGTGGGAAGTCCTATGTTCTTACTCATGTCCACATGCTAGGAGGGTGTATAGGAGGGCTGTGGTCCCTCTCTTAGGGGTAGAAAAACAAGACAGGAGATTATCTCTTACAATACAGGACTTTACAGAGTGGTTATAATGGTAATTTTTTTTTTTAGTGGTGGTGGTGGTAGTAGGGTGTGCACTCAGGGCTTCACACTTGCTAGGCAAGCATTCTACCACTTGAGCCACTCCACCAGCCCAGTGATGATAATTTTTTAAATAAATGTTTTATTCAGAATAATTAATTGGTTTACAGAAAAGCTGCAGAGAGTGTAGTGAGTTCATATATACTCCTCGCTGTTTTAGTTCCTCTTAATGTTATCTACATCATATTTGTCCAGTCTAAGGAAACAACACTGGCACATTACTATTCACTGAACCCCAGACTTTTGGGATTTATTAGTTTTTCCATTGATGTCCTTTCTTTATTCCAGAATCCATTCTAGGACCCACACTGGATATGTCTGTGTCTCTTCAGTCCACTCTGGTATGTGACAGTTTCTCAGTCTTTCTGTGTGTTTAATGACCTGACAGTTATGCACGTTACTGGTTAGGAATTTTGTAGAATGTCTATGATTTGAATTTGTCCAATATATTCTTTTATGATTAAATTGGGATTCTGGGTTTTTGGAAAGAATACCACAGAATTGAGTTAACTTCATCCCATAATATCAAGGGCATCTGATGTCAACATGACATCTCTAGCATTGTTAATTTTGATCATGGCTAACAGAGTATTTACCAGATTTCTCCAATGTAATATGATTTTTTTTTCTCCTTCCATACTCCTCTGTTCTTTGAAAGTGAATCACTAAGTCTTAACCATCTTCAATGGGGATAAGGGATTAAGCTCCACCATCCTAAATATAGGACTGGGCTTTGAATTTCGGGACTTCAAGCTTGCAAAACAGACACTCTACTGTTTGAGTCATGCCTCTAGTCCATTTTGTCTTGGTTATTTTGGAGATGAGAGTCTCTTGAACTACTTGCCCAGGCTGTCTGAGAACTGCAGTCCTCCCAATCCAAGTAGTTAGGATTACAGGCATGAGTCACTGGTGCCCAGCCTGAATGAAGTCTTTTCAATACCATATTAAGCCAACGTAGAACTAACATAAAAAGTAAAACTGTGGCAATAAAAATTTTTCAATCACTTTAGAAGACCTAATTTTTGATGACAATCCTTTGCTGAAAACTCCAATGGAAATCTAAAAGGAAAACAGTTGCCTTTACATTATCTATATATTTTATGTCTATATTATTTATAAATACAAATAAAGGGACATGGTTCCTTTTAGTGAAAAATGTTCTTTAGATATCAAGATCTGGGGCTGGAGATACAGCACGACAGTAGATAAAGTACTTGCCCAGCATAAGCAAGACTCTAGCTTCCACCCCCAAGCCGCCCCCTACCCAAAAAAAGAAATCAGGGTCTGAATACTATTCTTGTTTATTCTAAGTGTGTGTTTACAAAATACACATAAGTCTAGAATTATATACAAAGGTGTAGCATATATATGCTTAAATCACAGTGTATAGTCTTTGGGACATGACTTTTTCTCTTGTCACTTCAGATTCATCAGCGTTCTTGTATATAGCAGTAGTTTCATTCCGTTTCATTCATAAGAAATGTTGTATGATATGGGTGTAATTCGTCCATTCATTAGACAAAGGGACACTCCAGGAGTTTCCAGTTTGGTAGCTATGAATAAAGTCATTCTATACACTTGCACTCAAGTGTTTTTTTTTTATTGTGAAGTTATTTTTATTGTGAAGTGAGTTTTCACTTAAAAGTGATTGATGGGTCATTTGGTAAGGGTACATACATATAGCTTTATAAGAAGTTTATTGAATTTTCAAGAAAATAGAAGAAAAAAATTAACAGTTTTCTGAAGTGACTACACCATTTTGCATTTCTACTAATAATGTATCAGAATTCCAGTTACTCCATATTTTAACTGATTTTTCTCAGATTTTTTTGGGTTTTTTTGTGGTATTGGAGTTTGAACTCAAGGCCTATACCTTGAGCCACTCCACCAGCCGCCTCCCCCCCTTTTTTGTGAAGGGTTTTATCAAGATAGGGTCTCATGAACTATTTGCCCAGGCTGGCTTTGAACTGTGATCCTCTTGATCTCTGTCTTCTGAATAGCTGGGATTACAGGCATGAGCCACTGTGACTGGCTCAACTTTGTTTTGAGAGTTGTTTTTTTATGTAGTCAGCAAATATTTTCTTCCAGTTGTGGTTTTGCTTTTCTTGTCATTCTTTTCTTTTTATCTCTCTCTCTCTCTCTCTCTCTCTCTCTCTCTCTCTCTCTCTCTTTCTTTCGATGTTTTGAGACAAGATCTTTCTATGTAGCCCAAGCTGGCCTCATATGCCCAGTTTTCCTGCCTCAGCCTCCTTACTGCTGGGAACAATGTCTTTTGAAGAGAAGTTTCTACTTTTGTTGAAACCCAATGTGTCAATTATTTTTGCTTATAGGTTGTGATTTTTCTTTTATTTTTTGAGGTGCTGGGTTCAATACCCAGATGCCAGATAGATGATGTACTGCTGAACTATATCCCCAGCTATAGATTTCAATTTTTTCTTTATTCATTTATCCATATGTGCATACATTGTTTGGGCCATTTCACCCCACTGGCTTCCCCACTACCTCTCCCGCCCCACCTTTCTTGCTTCCAGCCAGTGGAGGATTTTGGTTTTTTTTTTTTTAATTTTTATTTTATTCATATGTGCATACAATGTTTGGGTCATTTCTCCCCCCTTCCCCCCGCCCCCTTTCTTCCCCCCTCACCCCACTCCCTCCCTTATCCCCCTTACCCCTCGCTACCAAGCAGAAACTATTCTGCCCTTATCTCTAATTTTGTTGAAGAGAGAGTATAAGCAATAATAGGAAGGACCAAGGTTTTTTGCTAGTTGAGATAAGGATAGCTATACAGGGCATTGACTCACATTGCTTACCTGTACATGTGTGTTACCGTCTAAGTTAATTCTTCTTGAACTAACCTTTTCTCTAGTTCCTGGTCCCCTTCTCCTATTGGCCTCAGTTGCTTTTAAGGTATCTGCTTTAGTTTGTCTGCGTTGAGGGCAACAAATGCTATCTAGTTTTTTAGGTGTCTTACCTTCCTTGTGCTCTTGCTTTATCATGTGATCAAAGTCCAATCCCCTTGTTGTGTTTCAGGCAGTGGATTTTGATTTTAGTGTAGTATCTAAGAAATCTTTGCCAAGGTCATGGAGTTATTTCTCTCCATTCTTATCTAAATGTTTTATAGTTTTATCTTCCAAATTTAGATCTGTGATTCATACTGAGTTCATTTTTATGTGGTGTATGGTGTGGATCAAAGTTTTGTTGTGGTTGTTTTTGTTTTGTTTTAGATTTGGATTTGGGGCATCTTGTTTTCAGTGCTGTTTGTTAAAAATTCTATTCTTTCTCCGTTGAAATACCTTTGTACATTTGTTAAAAATCAATTGATCATATGTGTGGGGGTCCATTTCTAGCCTTTGTATTCTGCCCCATCAGTCTTTATGACTTTATGACTGTCGTCTTGCCAATACTGCACTATGTTCTGCATTGTAGGTTGGCATAGCATGAAATCGTGCTGTATGAGTCATCAATTTGTTTTTCTTTTTCAAAATTGTTTCACCTACTCTAGTTCCTTTGACATCTTATATGAATTTTAGATTATCTTGTTGTTTTCTTTTTTATTTTCTAAAACAAAAAAAACTGCTGGAATTTTTATTAGTACTCAGTTGAATTTTGAGATAAGTTTAGGAAGAATTGGCATATTAACAATATTGAATCTTCCAATTTATGAAAACTGCCTCTCTTTACTTCTTAAGGTTTTGGCTCATTTTATCTATGTTTATAGTTTTTAGCAGATAGCTCTTTTATATATCTTTTTAGATTTTTTTCTATTTCATCATTTTTGGTGCTATTTAGAACAGTCTTAAAAAATCAGTTTCTGATACTATGAAACTGATCATTATTTGTTTCTGTGGCTAGTGCAATGGATGCGAATCAGGTCAGGGTGTCTTAGAATAGTCACATAGCCGCGGGCGATCGCGCCACGCGAGTAGATCCACGCCGAGCAGCAGCCAAGCGGCTGAAGTAACATAGCGAGGCGATAGTTAGACTGATAGATCTAGAAAATTGACCTGCAACGTAATTTTAAAATATTTAAACCTTGCATATTGCAGCCTTGGCTAAACTCACCAATTAAAGTTCTAGTACCTGGATGTTTTGTGTTTGATTCCGTTTGGGATTTTCTGCCTAGAACAATGTACTCGTATTGTAGATCACAGTTTTTTTCCTTCTCTAGTCTGTATCCTTTTCATTTCATTTTCTTGGCCTTGTTGGCGTTAACTAAGGACTTGTTTGTTTAAATCATGATTGGAAACTGTATTTGCATATGATGGCCTTGCTTTGATTTTGCATATATATCTAGGTGTTGAAGAAAGGTCCCATACGGCTTTTCCTTTGGCCTATTGACATAGTAAATTAACAAGGGTTAATTTCCTTTAACATAACCAGCCTTACTCATTTCCAGTGCAAAATCCTACTTGATCATGAAGTTATATTTTCAATATTGGCGGATTATTGGTTTTTAATCTGTTGAAGAATACCTGCATCAATGTTCTCCGCCAGAATATTGGTCTAGAAGTTTCTCGAAAGTACCTGTCCTTGGTCCTCATTATACTAGGTTAGGATAAATGCTGGGCCTAATAAGAATTAGCCTTAAATTAGTTAATGAAAAGACAACTTTTTAAAATTGAAATTATTTCTTCATTCAATTACTTGATAGAAATTCCTGAAAGCATCTGGGCCTTGCAAATTTTGTGTGAAAGCTTTTTT